CTTCGGTTTCACTTTTGGCTTTTGGAGGGGGAGGGTGGGGAGGATTTTTTACATCAGCTACTGTTGTTAGCGCTGCTACCTTGGAGTATCTGTGGTACGAAAAAAGGTTTTCTTCAGTCACCTCTGATAGTGCTAGATGGGCTTTTGCTTATGAGTGCTTGTGTTCGGAGCAGGTCTGAAGCGTGAGGTGATTGGGATGCTTGGTAAAATTCACCTACCAGCAAAGACTCTATGCAGAGTATGAAACTGAACAGCCAAATGTTGGGAAGGAGTATTAATTCATAGAGGACTGCGTTCGGCAACTTAAACATCTCCTTAAGAAGTGAAAGGCTCTTGAATGTGCTGTTTTTCATAACTATCATGTAAAATGACAACTGTTTAAAAAACTATTAACATAATTCTGGAACTAATGGGCATTACATTAATTGATTATATAACTAACATTTCCTACTGATATGTGTTTGAAAAAGCAAATATACTTACGTTTTAGAACACCAGTTGAGCACTGTAGTGTGTACATTTTTCTGTTGACAGAGTATTTCTCTAGAGGTTGCTGCCAGTAATGTGAGATGAATAATTACTTTCAGGCCATTCTGTCTATACGCGAGGCTCTCCGATGAGCAATCAGTAAAGGATACTTTCTGCCTGTCTGAAAAGGACGTTTATAGGGTAAAGGGTGTCAAATACAATACTTACCATTGCAATGAAAGTGGACATAGCAATTCTAGCCCTGAAAGCAGCTATCTGCAATTGACTGAATAACGTGAAGTCATTACAAGCTAAATACATGTAATAAAAAAAAGAGTAACAAGCAGTATTCTGGGTAATAGTGATGGGCTGCTCTAGAAGAAGCTTATTTATTAAACCAGATGGGAAATGGAGTACCACATCCTTTGCCTTTAGTGCCGTGCATTACGTAACAAGACTGAACGTGTTCGTGTCTTCTCTCTGTGATCAAAATAAGTTTGAAATCCAGTGCCAACCACAATTTTTTGTTTGTTTGTTTCTTCCTTTCTTGCATTTCAGGTTCACATGGGCACTCACATGTGGAACAGTACTCCTGCAAGACGAGGCAGACGACTTTCCGTAGATGGTCCCATGACATTTCTAGGTGGCAATCCTGTGAAGTTCCCAGAAATGTTTCAGAAGGATTTGGCCGCACGGTCAGGGAATGGAGACCCCTCCAGCTTCTGGAACCAGTATGCAGCGGCACTCTCCAATGGCTTGGCCATGAAGACCAATGAGATCTCCGTCATCCAGAACGGTGGCATCCCGCCCGCGCCGGGGGGCCTGGGCAACGGTGGCAGCTCGCCCATCAGCGGCTTGACGGGAAGCCTAGAGAAGCTCCCAAATTCAGAACCCAATGCACCTCTAGCTGGTCTGGAGAAAATGGCAAGCAATGAAAATGGGACAAACTTCCGATTCACACGTTTCGTGGAAGACAACAAAGAAATTGTAACAAATTAGAAAAAACTCCATAAATAACATTCCTGCAAATAGTGCAACCTAGGGTTGTTTTTTTCAAACTGCAAGCTACAACATTTCAAAGACTTTCTTTTGTACCATGTTCTACTTCTAGAGTTCTAAGAGAGCTTATTTATTAGTGATATAACCTTGCTTTGCAAACAAATGCAAGCATTAACTTTGGTCTCCTGTATTTTGAACTAAATACTAATCGACTAGAGTGCTGTAAACTTGCTGTAACATTTATGGCAGTTGCAAGTCTGTTCTGCTAGGTGATCTTATTCTGGCATTAACTTATTTTCTATATCCAGTTTAACATGAACTCTGGTATTGATGCAATGCCTCAGTGATGCATTAGATCTCTAATAAAAATCTGTATATAAATGTACACTTTGATCCTGCTGGAAATTTTATCAGCAAACACATTGTTTAATTTTTCCAAACAGAATTAAGAAAAGGACTGAAAGAATATAGACTGAACAGTGTGGTTCCTTTACACAGCTCAGTTTTTGATTTTTATTATAAAATTAAAACTGCTTTAATTTTTGTAGGTTTAACATTTTCCGTTTTGAACTGTTATTTGTATTGTGCTTTTTACTTGAGTCGTCTTAAATGTTAATACGTTTCTGTACAGTAATAAGCACGCAGATTATTAGAGGAGATACTGAAGTGTTGTTTTGGTAGTTGAAACTGAGACGTAACATTTTGCCTTGTAGGTATATTCATTATAGAAAATGTGCTGGACTTTCACAATGCTGCTAAGTATAGCATCTTGAACAACTTCCGTGGACAACTGTAGATGCGCCTGTATATACAATAAGACATCACGTTCATTAAAATGTACATACGTTCCTTACAAGACCAAGCCCTACTCCTTGACCAAGGGAACAAGTATAGTGTTTGTTTATTTTGTATTAGGTACGGGGAGGGGGGGCTAGGGGGAACCTTGGACTGTTACATGCACTTTCTCGGAAAGTTGAAAGGAAAAGAGGTCCAGTTTCTTTAACATTTAATACTTACTAACAGCAGAGATACTGTAATTTTACTCGAGTAATCAAATACATTTTTGCAACAGATAAAATTTGCTGTCTCTGTGTTTTTAAAGTGTACCTGTATTTAGTAATGCCTTTGAATGTATTATTTAACCTTTCCCTTGGTTAACATGAACTGTCCAGGTTGTATGTGCGTGTTTATATTTGTATGTATGGGTATACATATATGTATTGCATATTAATTGCTAGTATATTTTTCATACCCCTTAATAGTGGGAACTTTCTTCTTAACTATTCAATTACTCCTCATAAAATTGTAGATATTTTGGCATTTTTCATTTCTTTATAAAAAAAAAATGCTGCTAGCAAAGACCTTATTGAGCCTAGGTAAGTTTCCTTTGCAGGAAATAATATATCAGATTTAAGGCTTGATTTGGTTCAAATGTTTTATATTTGATATTAATTTTATTCTATGAGATTGTATGTTTGTGGCATGCTTACGCTGCTATATCTGTGTTAAGATGTCCACTTGCAAGGCTCCATGTGTTATATGGGGTTTATAACTTGATTGTAAAAAAAAAAAAATTGCTTTGGCCTTGCACATGATATGGCTTCCCTTTTGCACCTGCAATGATCATTAACCTCGATGGGAGTTTTGGAACACAAAATTCAGCCCAATATTTTCACCCAGTAGAGTTTTATCTCCTCACACTATCATGATTTATGAAAAATAAATCGGTTTGGCTGCCTTTAAATTATAGACACTTCAAAAAAAATCCACAAATGACCAATTTTATGTTCATTGTGTGTGTATATATATATATTTTACGATTCCAAAATCCAAATATTTTGCTTTATGGGATTTTCTTTAGTATCAGTTGGGGAGGAAGGTGTTGCTTGCCTTTTTAAACAAGAGATAGCCTCTCTGCTCTTCTGCCCTAGTATCTTTAGTTGTAAATTGGAGATAATAGAAAATTTAATACTGAAAAGCTGGGAGGAGAAATACTTTTATTGAGGCATTATACCTCTTGTCCTTAATACATGATTATGAATCTATAGTATAAACGCTGTAGTCTGAATACCTCTTGGACTTCAGATCTTTTTCCTGTTCAAATGTGATGATTCATCTGGTTCATGATATGCTTTTTTTTTTTTGTTAATATGTAAGTTGTACACTAGAGCCAGCTGGCTTGTCAATGTGAATATTTAAGACTTTTGAGTCACCTTTTGGTCTCCAGGAAAAAAAAAAAAAGGTAAATTAAACAGACTTTAATGATTTTACCAATGAAATACTAATTCTCCTTCTAGCGTTGAGCTTAGCGTGGTGCAGCAGAGGAAGGAGGAAGGTTTAGCGGACGCCAGCATTGCGGGAGCGGTGCCTGCAGGTCGCTGGAG